CTCCGCCCTGATCCTGAGCGGTAGGAACTATGACACCAAGAGATCTTTAAGCTCACCATGCGGATCTCATCTCGGGGCCAGTCTTTTCGTCCTGCGACATCTCGAACCATCGGCGGAAGACCTTGACCGCAAGGCACTCCTACCCCAAGTTAGCATGTTGACGGGATTGTTTACTTTAAAAAACAAGAAGGCGTTGAAAATTCGATGCCTGTAGGGGTCGAGCCAGGCCCTTCAGGGCTGGACGATTGAGGCCTGCCAGGAAGGTCCCATACCTGGGCCAGGATTCCACGGTTGAGTCGGGGGAGCTCTCTAAAATAGGCCGGCGTAGGCCCCAAGCAGTGTAAGGCTTCTAACCCTCCAGGAGCACCCGCCGAGACACCTCCAAGATGACCTTAATAGAGAACCCCCAAGATGACCCTCTCAAAGACCACTCAGGAGCACTCCAGGCACCTCACGAGAAGCGCACGCAGAGACCGGGGCTCAGAAGGGACACGCGAAAAGCCAACTTGTCCAACAGCCCCCGAAAAAATGTCTATGAAAACGTGCACACCGTGCCCGGAGCAGAGCAACACAAAGCCTCGAGAAGTGCCCTGAGGCACCCGTGAGAGCACGATTCGTCCGACCGAGTATGCATGTGCACGGAACGGCGAGAGCGATTTATGGCACCCGCCCGTGAGGCCAAAAGCATGCTGTTGTTTGCCAGTTTGCGATGTTTAGGACACCCGACATGCACTCCACCCAGGCGAGAATGTCCGGGCTCAGGAGCTCAGGAAGCACATGGAAACACCTATCAAAAACATCATCGATCTTGAAGCCCCTCGCGGACACCCGCGGGGCCCGGTCGCGATCTAATTCTCCGTGCTCCCGACGCAAGAACCCCGAAGTGCAAAAACCATTTAGGGGAATCAGGGCGTTTGCCTTGCTGAGTCCTTGTTGGTGCTTTGTTCGCACGGAGGGGGGGGGGGAGTCTTCAGTCATGTACCACATTGTACCGTCATGCACCTGTTGGAGGGAGATGGGAAGCCTCTGGAGGTTTTTGGGGGACTTGGGCTTCTGCCATGGCAAAGGCTAAGACCCACCTGCTAGCTGCAGAGAAACACGCCAACCCCCAGCATAACCCACCAAGCAAGTCCAAACCATCTCCACCATTAACTGTAGGGGTTTACGATACGAAATTCCATAAACAGACTCCCAAATAGTAGGATCCCCTTATAATAAGGACCCTACCCCTAATTTCGGAAACCCCTCTGTTGGACTAGAACCAAAAGCGCTTGGGGCCCAAGGCTAAAGCTCATGGTTCACACGCAGTCGTTCGGCCCTTGTTCGGAAGGGCCATCTGGGGCCAGGGCAGGTGCTCCACTTGCCGCCGACTGCCCAAATCAGCGTTTGTCCTGGAGCTGCGCGGGCGATGAAGCGCAGGCGTGATTCGGTCTGCGCCAACATTGGGGTCAAGCTGACATGCTGGGGCATCCGCTCGAAGATCTGTGAATCGTTCTTGGCGTGCCTGGCCTCGTCGGAATTTCTAGAAAGCACTCTGGCACAAGGGGAAGTCCAAACATTCCCCGCGAGAAAGGAGCGCCGAAACACCCATCCACGCTTGGCTTGAATACAATCGTGCCTAAGATCATGCCATCGAAAACCCTTGTGCGCTAAACCAAAGCACGGCTTAACCCACTCATCCTGCATGGCGCAAGATGCCGGGAAGGAACCACAACTGCCGACCGCTGGCCCAACCATAACAGATCGGTTCGAATTTCGCAGCCCTTGTCGGACCTTTGACAACAAGAACCCCGTGTAGAACGGACGTTCCAAACAATCTCCCATGTGTCTCGGAATAGGTGCTAGAGGCCACTATCCCTCCACCTTCCGAAGCCCCTTTACTGAGGTGGCAAGCAGCCGATGTTGGCTTCTGCACTTGCACTGCTCGTGAGACGTTAGGCCCTAAACCTAAACCCTAAACCCTAAACCCTAACACTCAGCACAGGGTGTAGAAGACTTGTCCTGCAAGCGCAAACCGGCCTTGCGCGCGCGCTCATACTTCGCCTTGATCCTGAGCCATTTTCAGGCATTGGAGAGCAGTAGGAGCTAAAGGGGTTCGTTGAGGCGACCTTGTAACCTTTTGGTCTTCAGATCCGGGGGCGCATGGCAAAATCACCCGGTCCTTTCGCCCTGCGACATGTGGAACCATCGGCGGAGGACCTTGACCGCAAGGCACTCCTACCCCAAGTTAGCATTTTGACATGCTTCCATTTCGCGGGCAATGTTGAATGATGCTTCGGTTTTGGAGTGCAAATTAGCACCCAAAAAAAACGTTGAACATTCGATGTCTGTAGGGGTCGAGCCAGGCCCGTCAGGGCTGGACCATTGAGGCCTGCCAGGCCGATCGCAGACCTGGGCCAGGATTGCACGGTTGAGTCGCGGGAGCTCTTCTAAAACATGCCGGCCAAGCAGTGTAAGGCTTCAAACCCTCCAAGAGCACTCGTCGAGACACCTCCAAGATGACCTGAATAGAGAACCCCCAAGACGACCCTCTCAAAGACCACTCAGGAGCACTCCAGGCACCTCACGAGAAGTGCATACCGAGGCTCAGAAGGGACACGCGAAAAGCCAACTTGTCCAACAGCCCCCCCGAAGAAATGTCTATGAAAACGTGCACGCCGTGCCCGGAGAGCAGAGCAACACAAAGCCTCGAGAAGTGCCCTGAAACACCCGTGAGAGCACGATTCGTCCGACCAGCGATTTATGGCACCCGCCCGTGAGGCCAAAAGCATGCTGCTGTTTGCCAGTTTGCGGTGTTTAGGACACCCGACATGCACTCGGCACCCAGGCGAGAATGTCCGGGCTCAGGAGCTCAGGAAGCACATGGAAACACCTATCAAAAACATCATCGATCTTGAGGCCCCTCGCGGACGCGCTCCCGACGCAAGAACCCCGAAGTGCAAAATCCATTTAGGGGAATCAGGGCGTTTGCCTTGCTGAGGTCTTGTTGGTGCTTTGTTGGTGCGGAGGGGGGGGGGAGTCTTCAGTCATGTACCACATTGTACCATCATGTACCTGTTGGAGGGAGATGGGAAGCCTCTGGAGGTTTTTGGGGGACTTGGGCTTGCTTAGGGAGTTCTTCGGCTTCTGCCATTGCAAAGGCTAAGACCCACCTGCTAGCTGCAGAGAAACACGCCAACCCCCAGCATAACCCACCAAGCAAGTCCAAACCATCTCCACCATTAATTGTAGGGGTTTACGATACGAAATTCCATAAACAGACTCCCAAATAGTAGGATCCCCTTACAATAAGGACCCTACCCCTACTTTCGGAAACCCCCCTGTTGGACTGTTGCAGGACTAGAACCAAAACTGCTTGGGGCCCAAGGCATCTGAGGCCAGGGCCGCCCACTGCCCCCCCATGGACATGGACAAAAGACGACGGCACCAGTTGTCCTGGAGCTGCGCGGGTGATGCAACCCAGGCGTGAGCTGTCAAGCTAACATGCTGGGGCATCCGCGTTCTGATCCTTGCATCCTTCTTGGCGTCATGCATGGCCTCGTCAGAGTTTCTAGAAAGCACTCTGGCACAAGCGGAAGCTCACCCTGCATGGCGCAAGATGCCGGGCAAGATGCCGGGAAGGAGCCACAACTGCCGACCGCTGGCCCAACCATAACAGATGTGCAGACACTGGATTTGCAAAACTCCCCACCTACGTCTACATCCTCAAGGGGTAGGTCTGCTGCTACGAGTCCCTCGTCACAACCGAACATTGCTGCCGATGGAAAAGTCTGAGGTTCCCACATAGTGTTTCCAACACACATACACAGAGCGGAGGATGCCCCTGCGCTCCACCTCGATGAAGCGGGACATGGCATCCTGGCGATGTTTGTCAGACAGCAGGAGTCCCCGTCTTTTGTGTGTGTGTGTGTGTGTGTGTCACGATGGAAGGTGAAGGCGGCGTGCTCTAAACTTGTACATGCCGTCACATGTCGAGAGCAGCAAAGCATGCTCCAGCTGCCGTCACAAGCTTTTTGGAGGTGTCTAGGGAGGACGTCTCACAGCCCGCGTGCGTACCAAAGCTACCGATGATTGCCGATGCAAGTGGCCAGGGCCAGATGCCTTCACGGGCGTGAAGTTCTTGTTGGAATCCTTGAGCGCTTCCTGGGCGCAGTTCGACGAAAGGTGCCTGCCCTGATTCACTGATTGCCCTCCCTGACCTGACATGACCTGACGACCCGAAGGCAGCTGCAGCATAGGCACCATGTAGCGGCGCCACATGGTGAAGCACTCGGCCACGCTGACAGCCGTGTGGCCTCCGCAACAGACGCACGCGTGGATGTGTCGATGGGGTCGGCTTGCTTGGGAATCACTCCGACCATCTCCGGCCACTTCATAACTGGGCCCTGGGCCCATCCACTTCATGAGGGCAAGCTCCGTCCTGAGCGTCTGCAGGAACTGGCGCAGGAACCCCCAGCCCTCAGAGAAAAGGACACCAGCTCTCTGGCTCCACGTTGCGTCCCTGCGAGACGGAATGTCACTCGGATTTCCAAACCCATGCCATTCCTCAAGATCACACCTTTATATGGGCCCAATCAGCATTGGATTTGGGGGCTACGGTTTAGGGTTCATAGCCTGTCGTCCTACTTCCTGCAGGCGCACACACACACACACACACACAGACAGACAGACAGAGGGACGAGCGAGGAAATCTCAGATGCACCGATGCACCCGGAGGATTCGAGGCCTGAGGTCCCTGCGTGGCTTGCACTGCGGCCTTCAGGCGCTCCTTCTCGTCCAAGGTGGCCCGCAGCTCCTTTCGCTTAGGGCTTGCGGCTTAGGAATCAGGGACGCGGTTTAGGGGAAATCTTCCCCTTCTTTAAGACTCAAATTGCACCTGATCCTGTGGACTTTGCCACATGCATGGGCCGAGGAAACACGGTCAAAACAATGAGGGCAACAAGTTTGCCTGCTCTGCTTGCTTCTTCGATTCCACTTCTGCCTCGACTCTCAATCAATCATCACCAATGTGCGCCGACATAACCCTGCACCTGAATGCACAACTGCAGTTCCGAAGCCTGCTGCTGTTTGGCGGCTTCCTGCCGGCCCGCCTCCCGTAGTTCTTCGATCTCCTTGTTCATGTTAACACGAAGGTAGCAATGCACCGCGCCAATCAGCCACTGACTAGGCATAGTTGTCGGCAGGCAATTTGCTGAGGCTGCCACTTTGGTCTGCTGTTGCACAAGCGGAGATCGGAGGGACGCTGCAGCGTGAACCCGCAACTTTCGCGTGGAGCCTTTGTCCTCCTCCTCATCTTCGAAGTCGTCATGCACCTCCGTTTGTTGCCAGGTGGTTTCGCTAGAGCTTATTTCTATGGCGATCCTGATTGAGTCTAGCCAGTACATGACGCTTGAATGTCAGACCAACTCTCCATTGCTGCCGAAGAGGCCGTTCTCACATAGCACGCTTCCATTTGAGCGCTACTGGACGCAAGATGAAAGGTGTCGCTTTTCACGTGTTCCCATCACTTTACAGGGCATTAGCATCAGCTATATCCACGCTCGATGTCTGCAGGTGTCACTTTGGGAAATATTCAAGGCTGTAGCACACCCAACGGTTCATGAACTTCGGGGTGTCGCTTTTCAGGTGTTCCCATCGCTTTACAGGGTTTTGGGCATTCGTGTCCACCCCTTACTTGCTTGAATGGCTGGGGGTTTTGACGCTTGCGACTTTGACCGAGCGACTGCCAAAACCGGCCGGCGGTACTAATGGACGTAACATGAAGGGTGGCGCTTGTCAAGTGTTCCCATCGCGTTAAAGGGTTTTAGCATCAGTTATCCACGCTTGATGTCTGAAGGTATCGCTTTGCGAAAATTCAAGGTTCTAAGATATAGCCCACCAAAACGCATCGTCAACTGAGGGGCTCTGCTTTTCAGGCGTTCAATGGCGTTCCCATCGCTTTACAAGGATATGATCACGGCGCACAGTCTCCACAAGTCGCCACCCTCTTTTTCTTCAGCATGCTGCGCTCAGGGCGTCGAACTCAGGCCCGCTGTCTCGGAACGCCTCGGACTTTCTCAAGGCTTCCAGCTGCCCAAGGGCTTTTGCGTATGTTTGGCGGGGATTGTCGTCAGCTCGCCAGAGGAGAAGCAATTCTCCAAGCAGACTCTTGTGGACGCTCGTTGGAGCGGCTTGCGTACCGTGCAGTGCTTCGACCAACAGGGACACCCAGTTCTGTCTTTGAGGCTTGGACAAGGAGCGCAGGACGATCTTAAGATGCGATTTGCAACGCTGTATCCGTCTCCACAGGGCCCTGCTAGGTCTGGTAGCTTCCCGCGGCAGGTCTTTCAGCATCTCTCCCAACAGATCCAGCATGCTTTCTGAGATCTGGTTCTGTACCGCCGGAGAGCTACCAAGACCGTAGTTGAGGAGTACGTGGTGTGCCGCAAGCCACAAAGATTCCTCGTCAAAAGCACGGGTGCCCTCCAGCAGATGCCCAAGGTTCTTCTGCACGATGTCGGTTACACAGCTCTCAGCAAATCGAGCTAGTGCTCGCGGCCTGCACCACCGTCGACCTCAGATGGAAAAGCGCTCAAGCAACATCAAGTCAGATGAAAATTGTAGCTCGAAAGAAATGAATGAAGGAATATAAGGAGTCGGGAGCCTGCAGTGTACAGCACTAAGCAAACCAAGAGGCAGTCAAACAACTTCTGCTGGGCATCATCTGAGAAGATGTCAAAGTTGCCCGAGTCTCCATTTAAGACCCGCATCACCGCATCTGAATACTCCACGATGGACGAAGGCCTGTGCAAGACAAGTTGTGGTATCATGCCTTCAGCAAGCGAATGACCCGCTAGTGCCTGTCCAAGCTCCCCATTTCGGCCACGTGCCGTAGCAAGGCCTCATTCCAAACGTCCGAAGCTAGGTTCCGCAACTGTTCCGTATCAAACTCTCGTGTGTCTGCACACAAGACGCCATGCATCACACCCCAGCCTCGGGGCTCCTGGTCTGCCGGGACGTCAGGCGCCAGCTCAGGATATCCGGCACCTGCGCGTGCAGCAAAAGCTCGACGATGCTCGACGTTTGCCGTTTCCCTACTTGCAGTGTTGCCATGTAGCTGGCTCATAAGAGAGACGAGGAGCGGAGAGGTATGGCAAGAGATCCGGCCTCAGACTATCACATCAGAGTCACTCTATCGGCCCTAACTATCAAGGACACCCAAGGTTTGCAACAGGCGCTTGACGCTCCTAGAAAGACCAAGTCGCAAAAGGAGCTTGCATGGGTCCCACTCTTCCGGACAAACCTCAAGCAGCACGCAGGGCTCATGCTATCCTCAAGCTATCTTGGGCCAGAAGCAAGAATGCACAGTAGGGCACAGGCCGCCGCCGCCGCCGGAGAGGTCTCTGGGAATGACTGGCCAATGTCAAGCTCGTCCTGCTCAGCTCTCTCTTTTCCTTCTCTCTCTCTCTCTCTCTCTCTCTCTCTCTCTCTCTCTCTCACTCTCTCTCACTCTCTCTCACTCTCTCTCACTCTCTATTTCTTTCCTTCTTTCTGGAGGCTTGGGGCCGAAGCCCCTGGCGTCCACGCCCGCCCCGGTTTTCGGGGCTACTCGATGGAAAGGTGGGACCAAGCTGTGGGCGTCCGCCTCTCTCTCTCTCGCTCTCTCTCTCTCTCCCTCTCTCCCTCTCTCAGCTGCAGGCTCTTACAGCGGGGTTCTCTTCGGTCCTGATCACACGTCTGGCATGCCTTGCTGCAAGCGTCCGAGGCAGAGGCCGGGATTTTGGTGGGCCTTGCGAGTGCCACACCACCCTCTAGCAATCGGAATGACATGCAATGACCATCATGGGTATACATGGGTATACCAAGATTCAGATGAGCTGCTCGATCTTGTTTGCAGATCTCGCGCATTCATCCTCGGTACATCTCGGTACAATGTACCAGCTAGCCGTCCGCATCCCCTCATCAGGTTCCAGAGACATCGGGTCAACCGCGCATGTCGTAGTGCGGAGTCAAGACACTTGCTTGAGCTGCGCGTCCAGCGCTTGACACTTCCTCAGTGTACAGTGACCGCACGAAGTCCTGTTGGGTGTCCATTCCTGGAGACAAGTTTGTTCAATTGCCGCCTGGCTCGCTACATCTTGCGCGGAACCTGGGAATCGGACTCAGATAAATGCTGGTTGGAGGTGGCCTGCAACGCAGCATCGCTGAACCTGAGTTGTTTTCACAGCTGGAGTAGCTGGTCTTGGTTCAAGGGAACAGCAGTTGAACGGCATTGCTCTGCAAACTACCCAATACTGGAACCAGACAAGGCATGAGCGGATACGGTAGGTGCGATATGAGAGTGCCCGGGTGCTGCTCAGTCACTCACTCGTCGTTCTGGCTATCGCCCAAGACAAGCCCGCGACCGAATTTTGAAGGTTTGGGCACGTACGACCGACAGCTTTGCAAAACCTTATCATCATTGGCAAGCGGCTGCTGCTCCAGCAAGTCCTTTTCAGCCCGCAGGGCTGAGACCAGCACGGTCAACTCGTCGTTTCTGGTCTCGACGCGTTGCAGCTGTTGCCGACAAAGCTCCACTTGCTTCGTTTCTTGGTCCCGTTGCTGGCAAGCATCTTCGTACCTCAATGTGGCTCGGCACTGCATGCACACGGAGGGAGCATAGAACCAAACAGACTAAGGAAGGATCTACGGAACAGCACTATGCGGGTAAATGTTGGCAGACGCAGGCAAGCAGCTCGCTTTGCAGCTTCTCGATACGGCAGCGCGCGCCGCTGCTGATCTTGCGCTCCTGCTGCAACTCTTTTTGGAGAGCGCAGTGCCTGGGCTGCCACTGCCATGCTCCCAAGAACCTCCCATTGATCTTGGGGGTCCGACGACACCTTCAATAATGCTCGCATGACGGGTTTCAACAAGATTCATATGCTTGGTGTTGGGTCGGGCGCAGGCCGCCTTCCAGTTGCAACCACAACGCTCGGATGATGGGTTTCCATCATGGAAGTATAGAGGAAAAAAAAAAGTCCCCACCCAAAAAAACTGGAGCCAAAAACAACGTCCGCCCTCAAAGGTCCGGGGGGGCCTCCCCACCCCCTCGCCTAATCGAGAACCCCCCCCCCTCGTGACACCTAAATCCGCGAGAGATCAGGGACCAAGGCCCCCCAAGTCCTATTTACCCCAAAACAAAGAAGGTTGCAAACGAAAGCTAGCTTTCGTGATTTGCACTATCGTTCAAGGCCCACGACCGAATCTTGAAGGTTTGGGCACGTACGACCGACAGCTTTGCAAAACTTTATCATCATTGGCAAGCGGCTGCTGCTCCAGCAAGTCCTTTTCAGCCCGCAGGGCTGAGACCAGCACGGTCAACTCGTCGTTTCTGGTCTCGACGCGTTGCAGCTGTTGCCGACAAAGCTCCACTTGCTTCGTTTCTTGGTCCCGTTGCTGGCAAGCATCTTCGTACCTCAATGTGGCTCGGCACTGCTGGCACATGGTGTCAGCGTGTGGGGATGCTACAACACCGTCGTGGACAACGTTGGCAGACACAAGATAGTACGGGCAAGCAGCTTGCTTCGCAGCTTCTCGACACGGCAGCGCGCGCCGCTGCTGATCTTGTGCTCCTGCTCCAACTCTTTTTGGAGAGCGCAGTGCCTGGGCTGCCACTGCCATGCTCCCAAGAACCTCCCATTGAACTGAACTTGGGGATCGGGCGACAGATTCAAGAATGCCATTTTTTATGGGGACCCTGAAGACTCTGCACACTCACAAGCATCGATAAGAAGTATCGAATTACCCTGAGGTCGGCAAGTCACGGTATGAACTCACTCATCAGGCACTCCTTGGCGTCAAACAACTCGTCCTCACACTGGCCAAGCCTCAGCTGGTTTCGCTCTGCAGGTTTCTGCAGTCGGCAGTCATGGAGTCATGGGCCGTAGCTGCAAACATCTTTGGGAACGAAGGGACATCACTCAAGGTTGCAGCACATGATTCACACCCAGGAGCCGCTGCTCCAGCACGCGCTTCTCAGCACGGAGGGCCGCGACCAGCACCGTCAACTCGCTGCTGTTTTCGGACGCGACTCGCTGTATCCGCCGCTGATGCTCGGCTTGCTTCTGGCACGCGTCCTCATACCTGAGGCTGACAACGTCTGGCATCTTGACGACTTACGAAGTCCGCGTGCGGCTATTCGGGTCGTCTCTGCTGTCTCTGCCGGTTGAAGTCAGGGCTCACATTCAAAAAATGCAACGGTCCAAATATCTAGTTCCCTGGCGACCTAGCACTTGCGACGCAGCAACGTGGAAATATGAGAAAATCTCCGGTTATCTTCCTTCACGCCGAGGCGCCGAATCGATTGCCACCACAGCTGCCATTCCACCTGCGAGCACCTCGGATGGGAAAGTTAGCACATGTCTGGCACACGTCCTGCTGCACTTGCCTATGTTTGCCAGGACTTCTCCACCACGCTGCAGGCGACAATTCAACTATAGAAACGCCCTAGCCGTCCACTCTCGTCCATGTTGGCGCGAGCCGCCATTGGCAGAGATACCGGTGAGCGTCGGCACCAGGCACGAAGTTGGGGGGAGCAATGGTGGGCCTCGGCATCTTGCCCAATGCTGACTTGGTGGCGTGGGCGTTGGCAAACAGAAACCTGACAGTTGGCCGACAAGCCGGCATCGGGCAAGGTCCTGCCAAACTCTACTGTAAGCTTCCAAGTCCTCCGAACCTTGCTACCTCTAAAGCCCAGCACTGTGTCCGTGCCCGAACGACACCGGCGCCCGGAGATGTATGCAACCAGGCAGCATGCTCAGCGTCTCATGGTCGCACTGCGAAACATTACTGCAAGGCGTGGTGTCATCCTCCGCCTGCATGGACCGCTGCTAAATTACTCGGCTTGGCCATACCACGTGCGTGAATCCGCCGACCCCGGCGTCAGTGAAGACTTAATTTCCCTGCACCACCCTCCCCGCCCTCCCCTACTTCCCTGCCCCAGCCTGCTCCCAACCTGCTACTTTCTTTGCCTTGGAATGAAGTGTTTTGAGGGCTCCAATGCATCCCTGGACCTGCATGCCCGCCGATCTCAAACCTATGCTGCCCAAGCCTGCTCACAGCTTGTAATCTTTATCTTTAGCTTGAAATGAAGCTTGAGCTGAAGTGTTTTAAGGGCTCTGCTTGCCCCACCCCCCCCAACCCCGCCGCCACCAGGAGCCCCACCGCCTCAAAGTATTGGTGACAGCCGTTAAACCGGGCAGCGCCATGGTCCTTGTGGCCTGGCGCGGACTAAAGGCATGGGTGACTCCCGTGGGTAGCAAGCTTGCCTTGTGCGAAGCACAATAAGGACGACTATGTGGTGCCGCCGGTGAACGGTTTTTTCTTGCGCAAAATAAGTAGGATAGCATCATGAGCATCAGTGGGTTCAGTCCGGGAACCTTAAGCGCGCATCAGGAGCATCAGCGGGCCCAGTCCGGGATGCCGGGCGCGCATCATGAGCATCAGCGGCTCCGGCCTTGGACGACGCAGCGGCCCACGCGTGCATAGCTTTCCCTCTGTCGCCAAACCCGTGCCTTCCGACTATGAAAGCCAACAGAGGACCGGGACGCACCCCGGGCGGGCGGCGGGCGGGCGGGTGGGCAGGCGTGCGTGCGGGCGGACGGACGGGCGGGCACTCGCGCGCGCGCGCGCGCGCGCGCCTGTTCGCCTTCCCCGTTTGCAGAACGACACTCCTCGAGCTTCTGCCTGCGCTGCCCGCCCATGGGCGCAGCCCCTTAAAATATGCGTGGGTTATGGATCCTGCCGTGTTACAATCAAACAGGCTTCAAGTCACGGATGTGAACCCTGCCTCGGAAAGCAATGGCATCTCAGTAGCGCCAGTGATGCCGGAGCCACTCGGCCGACGCGACCCTCTCGTGTCCGTCGTGCTCGCGTCGCTCTGGTTGATGAGCCGACTATGCCTTTCGAGCTGCACGTTAGAAGACGTCAGAGAAGCTGGAGAAAGCGATGCATGTTCTGCTACCACATGAGACTTGTCACACAGCTCTTCTGGGAAGCCCGAGCTATCCCGCCCTTCGAATTGAACAGGAGAAGACAGCAATAGCACCAAGACCAAAGTGAGCCCGCACTTAACACTTTCGGCCCGAGCTGCTTCTCGCACGAGTCATCATAATTCGCTGAGCCATCTGACGGGAATGTCGACCTCATAAAGCACGGGACGGCGATTGATGCAACATGGCACGATCGGAAAGATGAACTTTACCTGATTGACAGGTGGCCGAAAAGCCGGCATCGGGCAAGGTCCTGCCAAACTCTACTGTAACCTTCCAGGTTCTCCAATACCTCTAAAGCCCAGCACTGTGTCCGTGCCCGAACGACAGCGGCGCCCGGAGATGTATGCAACCAGGCAGCATGCTCAGCGTCTCATGGTCGCACTGCGAAACATTACTGCAAGGCGTGGTGTCATCCTCCGCCTGCATGGACCGCTGCTAAATTACTCGGCTTGGCCATACCATGTGCGTGAAGATACGTGGGTTATGGATCCTGGGGTGTTACACTCGATCGGGCTTCAAATCACGGATGTGAACCCTGCCTCGGAAAGCAATGGCAGTTCCGTAGCTTCAGTGATGCCCGAGCCACTCAGCCGACGCGACCCTCTCGTGTCCGCCGTGCTCGCGTCGCTCTGGTTACTGAGCCGACTATGCCTTTCGAGCTGCACGTTAGAAGACCTCAGCGAAGCTGGAGAAAGCGATGCATGTTCTGCTACCACATGAGACTTGTCACACAGCGCTTCCGAATTGAACAGGAGAAGATAGCAATAGTACCAAGACCAAAGTGAGCCCGCACGTAGCACTTTCGGCCCGAGCTGCTTCTCACACGCGTCATCGTGCGATTTTGACCTGGAATGGCACGGGACGCCAAGCGATGCAACATGGAGGTGGACAGAACACTGAGGAATGTTAGAGGGGCAGGCCGCCTTGGTGAGGTCAGCTCGTCCAGAGACGTATTCAAGATAGACCTCACACGTCTGTCACAGTGGATTGGCAGCTCGACTTAGCAGAGGGGCATCACCAAATCACCAGCTGTCTTCAACATGTTAGGCACCTTTCTTCGGCCATCTGGTTTGGCGACAGCCTGCCACACGGAGCACATATCAGTGCTTGTCAGAGAGCATGCAGGAAGATAGAAGTAACTCTGGAAGATGCGGTCAAGGCGCTGGACACGTTCGTCCAGACCGATGCCCACCATGGCCAACACTCCGGTCAAACACATGCGCCCAACAGGTCAGCGTGATTGTTGTATCGGTCAGATACGATCAGCATGCCTTTGCATTGGCTGCACACAACACCTGCACAGTCATGAGTCATGAGCTTCTTGTACAGCATCTTCGAAGACTCGATGGTTCGAGGACTTGAAAGCCTGCATAAAGGAGATGAAAGCGATGCAACAACGACGCAGACGATCCAAAACATTGGGTAGTCTAGGCCTGAGCATGCCAGCATAATTCTGCAATCACGACTCATGCGATGCAAAGATCCACAGCGCTCAGGTTGCTTTCTTCTCACAGCACAAGTGCGCCTCATGGCTGTGAAATATTGGCTGCAGGGCTGGAGCCCGGGGCTGGAAGCGCTTCGAGGAGTCGCATCGAGAAAAGTGCCTCTATGCGGGAAATGAGGAGCTCCTGCCTTTTTAAGCTTTTCTTGCTTGAGAAGAGTGGCCAACGACTGCTGGATGCCTCCCAGTGCTGCCAACATGTGTGTTTCCGCAGCAGGTGTGCTTGTGCTCTTCAGGTGAGGGCAGCAAGAGATCCAAATTCGGCTCAACAGATGGAACCTAAGTCCTTCCAAGTCGGGAAGGCCTCGGTGTGCAATGTCCACGGAAAGACGGCTGCCAAGAAGAGCTTCGAATGGAGGCTGTGGCAGCGCATGATCAAGTCTCGGACCAGTGCGGGGTCAATCTTTCTGACGTCAGCTTCGGCGAAGTGCGTGTACTTGGCTTTCAAGCCACACACACACATTCCTCTACAGCATGGGTGCCCTTCAACAGATGCTCAAGGTTATTGTGGACGATGCTGATCACATGGCTTTCAGAAGCGTAACCTGCTTCGGCGAACTAGCATCTTGCACCACCGTCGACCTCAGATGGAAAAGCGGTCAAGCGATATCAAGTCAGAAGACGATTGTTCTCAAAAAATTGAACGAAGGAATCGGGAGCCTGCAGTGCACAGCTCTAAGCATTCGAGTCTCCAAGAACTGATTCAATGCAACTGAATACTCCCACGATCCCATCTCGGCCGCATGCGGTCGGCACAACACAAGTTGGCATCCCATGCCCAGATTCAATATGTCACACACGGTTTCCGGCAAAACATTCAACACACAGTCTTGTTGTACGCCTTCCCGCGTCCCAACACAGACACACGCACACATACACAAGGCGGCAGCCCATGCCTAAACATCAAGATGCCACACCACACAGAGAACGGTCTTGTTTGCACACCCTTCTGCAAAGCAGAATTTCTCGATAGTGGCAGCTGATGCCTGACCGAAACGCTGCCTTGCTATCCGCATTCATCGAGCAAAGAAGCTCTCGTGCCAAAATACACAACACTCGCGGCCCTCGCGCCAACACGCACGCGACGGGCAACAGTCCAAACACGGTTGGTTGCACGCCTTTCTGCAAGGAGTCTCGCACATTCTTGAACCAACACACATCCACAGCCCATGACTAAAGCGAAAACGCCGTTCACCGTTTCTGGTGAATTCGAAATGCTGAGCCTTGTTGCACATCAGTCTGCCAGGTCTCACCAGACTCCCCCGTAACAACACACATTCACACATTGAAGATGTCTCGCGCAGTTTCTGGCAATGTAATCTTGCTGCTCCGGAAACAGATCTCGCCAAAGCCCCGTACCAAAGTTGGCCCCCCATGCCAGCACGGACGCACGCGCGAGTGCACAGACAGACAGACACGCAGACAAACACACACACACACACACACACACACACACCCATACCCGCGCGCGCACACACACACACACACTGGTACGTACGTACGTGCATACGTACATACGTACATACGTACATACGTACATACGTACATACGTACATGCGTACGTACGTACGTACACACGTCTCGGGACACCCATGCCAAAATTCCAAAGGCCACTACATGTGCCAACCCCGTATGGTTTTGCGGCCTACATGTGCCAACGCACCATGTTGTCCACAACGTTGGTGCGAGACCTGTGCCGTTTTGCTACCCAAGGTGGCAGCCCATGCACAAAAAGCAAAATGCCACACCACTCGAAGAACGGTCTTATTTTGCACACCTTTCTGCAAAGCAATCTCGCCAGAGCCCCCTGCACCTAATACACAAGTTGGCATCCCATGCCCAGATTCAATATGTCACACACGATTTCCGGCAAAACATTCAACACACAGTCTTGTTGCACGCCTCCCCGTGTCCCAACACAAACACACGCACACAGGCACAAAGCGGCAGCCCATGCACAAAAAGCAAAACGCCACACCCCTCAACGAACGGTCTTATTCCGCACACCTTTCTGCAAAGCAATGTCGCCAGAGCCCCCCGCACCAAATACACAAGCTGGCATCCCATACCCGAATTCAAAATGTCATACACGATTTCCGGCAAAACATTCAACACACAGTCTTGTTGTACGCATCCCCGTCTCCCAACACAGACACGGACACACACACACACACACACTGATGCATTGGTGACTGTGTGGAGTACAACCTTTTCACCTGCGCCTGTCATGATGATGAAATGAGATTTTTGTACCGTGTGTGCCAGACCACAGGAGTTAAGAACTCTGGACTCTTTTCAATATGCTCAAGCCGGCTGCGGTAACAAGTTTGGATAGTGCGAATGTTCATGCACCTCTCGGTGCCTATACATGTCTTGATTCCGCTTCATGCTCCGGTGTTGAAACAGATGGAGCAGGGCTGAATCGGAACTGCTGTGCGCAGTGCGTTCGGGCAGCTTTGCTTGTGATAGCAGTTGCCGCGGGAGCGACAGATGTACAGTGTTCCTATGTGCCCTTGCGTTGGTGGTACTGGATATTGCGCAGGAGGTTGAGGCACAGGAGGCGGCGGTGTTCTCGAAGGCGTAGCTGGGAAGTGTATCCGTCGAAGCAGCTCAAATTCTTCTTGACTGTTGTTCAGCTGTTCACGTAGCTGATCGTTTTCTTGGATGAGCCGCTGGTTGTAGTGGCGCATCACCTCGAGCTCCATGTTCTTCTCGGTCATCGTCTCCTCGAGGTGCGTGACATAGTCGTCGGCGTTGGTTTTCGGAGCTCTTGTAGTCCTGAAGCATGTGCGGTCGACGCAGATGGCAATGCTGGAAGCGGCAATGGCAATGAGGATCGCAACCATGAGCAGCACCAAGTCGTAGGTCTCGAAGAGGGAGTTGTAGGTGTCCACCGAAGTTGTAGAAGAGGACGTAGACGTGGATGTCGCCGTACTCGGTGTAGGAGCCACAAGTGCCATGACCATCCAAGGCCACACCGAACGTCTTGTTGCCAAGGTCATCGCCACGGTAGTTGTCGCCCACGACCTTTTCGCGATGATGGCCGCGTCACCTGCAATCAAGTCGTCCTCGCTGGCTTCGGTGTCGGACGGGCGCAGTCTCTTCATCTCCATGGAGTGATCTGTGTTCCAGAACTTCACCACTCCGGAACTCAAGAAATGACGAAGGCAAAGTGATTCCATGGTCTTTGTCAAGGCATCTGATGTCATACACTCGGTCGGCGTTAAGATGTTCCATCTCATCCTGCCACACGCTCTTGCCTCACGAAGCGCTAGCAGATATATCCTCTGACTCTTGTCCTGTGGGAGGCTTCGCTCTCCCGTCGATAGAGACCAATAATCTCTGCAATCTGTCATCATGTCCACGGGCCAGTGTGCATTGCCTTTCTCCTGTATGGCCAAGAGTTGTTGCAACGTCGGCTGCTTGTGCCCGTGCGAGATCTCCGACAGCCTGGTCGAGATGAGCGTGGCGCATTCCAAACCATTCATAGCGGCCAAAGTCTCACCATGACTTGTGGAATAGGAAACCCTCTTTGCTTTGCTCGATTGTACATGTAGAAGGTGCGCAGCGCCGCTCACGTACTTGGACACAAACTCATCGGTGCATACGATGTGATCCTGTTTGATATCCAAATGGTCTTCCATCAGGAATACCAACACTCCTTCTTGGGCGTAGTTCTTCGTTGCCGTGGCGGCAGAGGCATCATGGACGCACACAATTCGCAGCTGATCGGTATTGAACGGACGGTAGTAGATGGCCACGTCCTTGTCACGCTTCGCTCTCTCGATGAGGTTGTTCGCCTCCTTCAGGTGTTTCACTGTGGCCTTGTTCATCACACTCTGAAGACCAGAAAGTTCAGCAAGAAGATCTGGCCTGGTGAGTCCTGTCCACATCAATGCTCCCACTGCCGAGCGGAGCTGTGTGGTTCCGGCTGCGTTCAGGGGCTGGTTCTCGTCCATCTTGTCATACTTGATCGGCTGTAGCATGCTCACGTAGTCGGCCTGATCCACCTTGAAGGTTCGTCCAACACGAGAGTAACGACAGCCACAGTGCACAAAAGGAAGCGTCTGCCTTGTGAGCTTGCCGAACTTCTTCACCAGAGCCTCGAAGGTTTCATCAAGCCATCGCTGTTTGCCATGTGTGCCAAGATCGTCCACATGCGTGGTCAAAGCTGACGATGGCAATCTTCCTGGTGTTTTCTTCGGCCAATACCAGTAGCATTCGTCGAAATTCGACTGGATTCCACCAAGCTCACGAAGACACTGATGGAGAAACAGTTGCCAGGCTAGCGGTGCCTCGGAAAGTCCGTACACCGGTTTGAGGCAAAGGAGCACGTAGTCGTTGAGCTCGTCTTCAGGAATGTCAAACTCGCTGGACAACTGCTTGAGATGTCTCCAAACATTCTTCGGTGGTACGATGGCGATCTCTCTCTCCACGGTCTTCAGGCCAAGCTTCTTGAGATACTTCCAAAGCTGCTCATAGGTGAGCCCTTTCAAGAAGGCCCCTGCGATGTCCCAACTTTCCACGCAGTCATCATTGCAAGCAGCAGCTGATAGAATAAGTCTCTGCGATAGCCTGGTGGCCGTGGTCGATCGTGTCATCATGTCTCCTTTCCACGGGTCGTGACAACCTCGTACGCACAGTCGGCTCTTGACGGTTTTCGTTTTGTCCGCCAGTCTCTTGAACTTGCGTACCCAGATGGCATCAATCAAGGCGCACTGTTCCTTGAGCTCGCTTCTGCGTACCGCCTTGAACGCCTTCTCATTCACGAACTGCATCACTTCTTTCTTGTCGGAGGCCTCCACTTCTGGCCACATGGTCAGCGCCTTCTCCTCGTCGATGTTGTCCACTTCAGTGTCTACCTTGAAAATGCAACCTTGTCCAATATCTGCCATCCAGCCAGGCGTGTTCATGTAGAAGAGCTCGTTCTTCTGTTGAGTTTCCAAGAAGTGTGTTTCGTGGTTCGCTGCCTCTTCTGTACTTTCTTCTCTTGGACCGCTTGCTTCTGGTTGATATTTCCAGCGCTGTCGATGCAGAGTCAGGAACGCGTCGGCCGCGTATTCGGACGGCTTCACCATGTAGCCATACCTCTGTTTCTTGCTTTCTGGACCAAGTGTCACCGTTCTTGTTTCCGGGCCGTCGCGCTTTCTATGCTCGGTGTCAACATCCATGTCGACAGTCTCTTGCATCTGCTGCACGGGTAGCGCCGGAGGTGCTGGTGCGCGACGAGCTTTCGATGGCAGCGAGGTCGTCACCATGGGCTCCACAAACTCGTCTGCGTAGCTGTAGAAATAGAGGTAGCACATGACATCCCGATCTTCATTCCGTATCATGCTGGTGTTCATGTCGGTTCCGTTGGGATTGTCGACGGTTGTGATTTTCTGGGTGCTCTTTCTCCAGGCCACCAATGTTCCAGTACTGCCTTCTGGTGTCACCATCTTTCGCAGTCCTCGTCCTAGCCGCACACCGTGACAAGTCTTAGAGGTCAAGAATTTTGCTGCGGAGACGACATCATTGAGGATTTCCTCCTGCTGCTTCTTGGTGACGTGCTTGGGCAGCACATGCCATTTGTTGCGATGGTT